ATTTACACGTTCATTGATTACTAGTTTTTAACCGAAAGCTCGCATGTTTGCTCATTGAGAAGTGATGTGAAGTGCGCGGGCGACAGCTGAATGTCATCCCCGCCTGAATCTGTAAGCCTCATTGAACCCGGTCATCAATATTTTTCTGTGATTTCAGGTGGTCTTGATGGTTTCGACGTGACAAGATATGCAAATTTCAAAGAAGAGCGCTGAAGTTGGCCAACACCAAGGACAGCTTAAATCACCTTGGACGAAGATATTTTTTGAAATATTTCACTTGAATTATGGTACTTAAATGAGTATTATTTTGGGTAATCTTATTTGCTTAGCAGAGGAAATATAAAGAATTTATTATATTTAAAATTTTGTATTTGCACGCCAGGATATCACCGAGTATTTGCACTGTAAGCCCCAGAAATAAATCCTGTATGAAAAGCTTAAGCGAAAAACCAGGAAGACAGTTTTCCAACCAATTTTCCTTTTCAAGCTCCCACGAGAAGCTTTCGGTTTTCAAGCTAAAACTCACCTCAACCGCCGGCGCCAGGAATGTTTGCTTTTCCCAGGATACTCTGGCACGGCGAATCGAGGCGCATGGCTTCGAATGGCAGGGACTTAGCACGCATTAAACAACATCAAAATAAACAAACAATTTCGCAGACAATTGCTTCGAGGCAGTTTGAAGCAGCCGCAGCGAATTGCGGTCGAGGAGTGGAGGGAAATTCGGAGTGGGGTGGGATTATCCTTGCGGAAGAGTGTTCGGTGCTTGGGTGGTGTGCCACCACAGAGATTCTGGTTTGGATGCAAGGCGCTAATCGATATGTACCAGACAAGGGTCCTGCGTCCTGCCCGCAACTTCAACGGGGATGGCCTGCGGTTGATGGGTGCGTTTGCAACTCCTTGACACCATCAATCTGTTTTCTTTATTGGGCCAGTGTGTGAGAACCATTTGATTCAATTATGCCGACTGACTGATCGCAGATAATCTTTTGGTTACTCAAAAAAAAAAAAAAAAAACTCAAGCGAAAGATTTTAAGTTAAGACATTACCAACATCGATTAGAAATGTACTTTTAATCGTAAATGTAAATAATAACGTCAGCAGTGCTTCCAGATATGAAACTAATTTAGTTTTAATCAGTTTGATTCTTTGATTATTGTTATGTGATTGTAAAGCACAAAGTTTTTGAGATTAGTTTCACATTATTTTTGAAACTTTTTTGCCGGATAGTTGGGGTTCTAAGTTCCAAGTCCAGTCTAAACGAATAGTGGCGAATACGAGAGCAAATTTACTATATTTCCACAACCTTCCCGCTCAATTGGCCTTAACCCTATCTTACGTTTATAGCCCTCAACTAAATTGGCATGTTCCGTACAGCTTAATACCCTTATATGCAAATCAAATGGGTTTAGGATATTCATTCTATTTATTTTTGGTTTTCCCACAGTTCCTGATTTACACTTCCTTAGGTGCACTCGTTTGAAATGCGATAATTTAATTGTGGTGCGATGACAAGTCCAACTCAGTGGGCTTTGGTTAGGGTTAGGGTTAGAATTAGGGGAAGTACCGGTCTAAGGGGCGGCTTTCCTGCGGCAATTGCAAAAGTTAAATTAACAATCGTGTTTACATTGGTTGGTAACAAGATTTCACTTAAGAATGTCAGCTTTGTTCGCGGCACCACATATATATCTCCAGCTCAATCGGTCTGAACTCGAATTCTGCACAGGATTCGGGCACTTACCCTCCATCAAAACTGATTACTGTCATCAGAGCCCGGAGTTCTGGGTGCGAGGGGTGTGCGAAGTGTGTGCCGACGCGTGCGACAAGCAAATTTGTCTGGTAATGAAAAGGTTTGCGCATCCGCATCCCTGACATATTGTCGGTTCTCTCCTTTTGTTCTGCGGATCGGACTGCTCGGGATTTTCGCGCCTCGGGTTAGGGCACGTGACCAGGTCGCCCGACTGGGCGGGGATTCTCCACTTTGACGTGGCTGACGTAGCTAATTTGCGAGCAAACCAAAACATCAAATAAACATAATTCAATTTCCACAATTGCCCCGTGTCGACTGTTGACAAAGACTGCGGCTTCGAGTGGTGCCAGATCCCGACCCTGATCCTGATCCTGTTCCTTGTTCTGGTAATGTAGCGTGAAATGTAGCGACCAGCTATCTGCCTTAGATCTAATTGCTCTGACTCTGCTTTGTCCTCGTCCCGTGGGAATCAAAATTTGGTCGAGTAAAATCAACAGGTCCATGGGCCCCTATATTGTACTCCGATTACTGGCAGACTTCGGGTAATATCCTTTTCCCCCATATGGTTGCAAAAATAGTCTTCAGAAGGGGAAACTACACGGCTATCTGGGATGTAAGTATGTATGTGTAGACTGGTCCCCCGTCTCCGGAAAGCTCCCCCATCATCAAAGTGGTGGACTCAAACATGGCGACTTCCTGCTGGGCGAAATATAATGGCAGAATGTCAGAAACAGGTGAAGGATGCACAAAGCGAATGGAGCTGGATGTTAAAGGGGAGTGGCTGGAATGACAGGATGTGGGTTAAGTAGACTTAAAGATGTTCTACAATCAACTAACTGATTTTGTGCATTAATAAACTGTATAAATGGATCGTAATATATATTTGAAAAGGTATAAAATCTCAAATAAGTATATTTATTTATTAAATTTGCCTTAAGTATGTTATATATATTAAAACTCAGTATTTTAATAAGGTTGTTTTGTATAAAACAAGTCCCTGAACCAAGATCAGAGTCCTTTATCCATATTTCCAAGTAATAAACTACCATAATTAACTTGAAATCCAGATCTACGCCCAGCAATTGAAGTGTAGCTAGAGGCGAATATGCCCAACGAATTTCCCACAGCATCCGTTCCATTTGCAGGGGCAAACACCCTGTACTTGCCAGGCTCCGCCCATCTAGTAGAGGGCGCACGGTAACTGGCTGCAACGACGTTTAGGGGTGGAAAGGTCCTGGCCAGAGTTGCGGCATTTCCAATTGGATCTGCGGCACTATAAAAGGCTCGCAATTCCCGGGAGATGGACTCACTAAAGTTTTTAATTTATTGGACAGCGGAAGTGCGTAGAAGTGTCGAAAAAAAATAATAGCCGTTCTATATCTTAATTAGAAAAAATCTTCAGTGGGATAAACGGAAATTTGATAAGAAAATGTCGCGAAATCAATTGCCAGATTCGTCGTCTTCGCCGCCCATTAGGTACGGATGTTCTACAGAAATGTACAAAATATGTACATACTCATATTATTCAGTGATTGTAATTCCACATTACTCCTAGAAAAAAATTTTCAACATTTTTTCACTTGCGACATAATTGCAAAGCTTCAATAAAAGAATTACTCATAGATATATCCAAAATTTTTTTTAAGAAATGAAAGATATAAAATACATATTATTAAATATATCTGCAGAAGTGGAGACACGCCCATAACCTAAATTAAATTTCGGCAGTGCCGTCGGTATCTCGTTTTGATTAAATAAACGGACACCAAATGCGTGCCTTTAGACTTACAGTACTGTTTTAATCATCAAATGTTTAAATATTATTACCTCAACAAATTATTTCGTTTTTCAATTAAAAATAATGAAATAGAAGTTTCGTCTAAAATTATTGATAAAAGTTATATAAATATCATAATAAATAAAGTTAATTTATTTGATAAATTAAGTATTTCATTAGAAGCTAAGGATGTTACATAAATAAATAAAACTAGTATTCCCCCTAAAAAAATTAAAAATAAAATATAAGAATATCAAAAACTTTTAGTTATTAATCCTGAAATCAAACATACAAATTAATTAGATGTCTTTTCGCCGACAGCCATTTACCCTTCCACAATTTCGACGATGATCTGATCAACGATTTGCCCTCCTGCATTTATGCGGGTCAGCATCAAGGTGGAGGCGCCACCGGTGGAGGTGGTGGATCAGGAGGCAGCGGTGGCAGTTCTGGGCTGCGACTGAGCTCGAACAACCTGCGTCACATACAGCAGCACTATATGCAACATAGCGGAGGTAAGAGGGAGACTAAATATATTTAAAGACGCCTTCAATATCTATCTGAAATACTTCAGAAAATCTTCTTGACTCTTCCACCAATCCGATGGGGGTGCACAATTCCGGGGCCGGAGCACCCCTAATGTGCAATAGTCCCAGTGCCAGCAGCAGTGGAGGAGGGTGCGGCAACGCAGGATCTGCTACCCCTGGCGGTGCAGGTGGTCCCAATCCCGGTTACGGATCTGTCGGAGCTGCAACTGCGTCCAGCTATAAAATGCAGCGACAAGCGGCCAATGTGCGGGAAAGGAAACGCATCCAGAGGTCCGCCCCAACTGGGTACACCAAATGGTCTTTTCCATTTTACAACTTCCTATCCCACGATCTATATACCAGAAGTTGAAACTAACAAGCGTTCCTTTATTTTTGTTTGGATTTCTTGCGCTTTGCAGTAGCATCAATTCGGCTTTCGATGAGTTACGGGTCCATGTACCCACATTTCCGTACGAGAAACGTCTGAGCAAGATTGACACTCTGCGGCTAGCCATCGCCTACATATCTCTGCTCCGTGAGGTATTACAAACCGACTACGATCCTCTTACCTATGTGGAGAAGTGTCTACGCGGGGAGATTAAAGCGGATAGGGCTAATTGGAATACGAGTGGTGAGTAGTGACACTTGTCCGAATATCTATGGTCAATAAACTATTCGCTTCGCAGATCTCACAGCTCGTCTGTCCTGGATCAACTGGGAGAACCTCGGTGTCCATCCTGGTAGGCGAACTCTGCTTACCTCGTTGGCTCTGTCCTCGGAGCCCATGTGCGGAGCTCATTGCGGAATGCCATAGATTTAACTAATAAATTTGAGGCTTAGCCCATCAATTGCTGAAAGCACTTTCCACTTAAGCTTCTGATCTTCCCTGGAGATTACAAGGTCTTCCCTTTAGGTTTCGATCTCCCAATTTAGTTTAAGGCTGTACATATTTCTTCAGTTACTAACAGTTAGCAATAGTATTTTATTTGAAAAGCACCTCGGCTGCTCGAAATACAAGACCCATCTGCCATTAAAGGCCAATACTGTATTTAAGAAATAGTTATTGGTTTTAATGGCTCGCGGGATAATGCATTTACAAATCAATTCCACAAATTATATTTCAGGATAAATGTTTTGTAAATAGTATTGAGTATTGGGCAACCGATTCGACAAACCGACAAACCGGTTGCGGCTAACAGACGTTTTACAGTTAGTCAACGATGTAACAACTTTAAAAGCATTTATATATATAAAAGTAAATACATGTTTCATCTAGACGTAGACATTAACATAGCTTCCTATCAAAGTACATATACTCGAAAATAAATACTTCTTTGATCAACAAGATAACTTAGAACACGAACTGTTTGTTGTTGGGCGAAACGAGGGCTAAATGCGCTGCCGATGGTTGGGCATATGTATATATGTATGTATTTGCTGTATTTGGACTACATGCGGAAGATATCTAGAAACTTTTGGCTACTACTCCTACGATAAAATTAATCTGTTCAATTCTGTTCCATTTTAAACTTCGCTTTGGTAACTCGATCGGATTTCATTGGCTAATACTCAAATTGCCTTGGCCCTAGCTACTATTGGGCTACAATGCTAATACAAATGCGCGCACATGTAGGTATGTACTAAATATAAACGATTACATAATTCACACTCACAAGAATAAACATAAACACAATGACACGGTTAAACTACGCTCCTAATAATTGAATTTTCGATTGCTTCTCCAATTTGTTTTTGGTTTTGTTGCTGTTGTTTGATCTATTGGTCACAGAGCACTTTCCACACTGGCTCCTTAGGCCGGATTAAGCACGGCCACCTTGCGTAAGCTCTCCAGCTCGCTTCTCTTCAAACGCAGACTGAACATGGCCTCAACAAAGCCGTGGCAGTCCGTCACAATGTTGTCCTGGATCATGGTATCCCGGAATAAGTTGGCCAGGGCAGCAATGTCATCGCAGCCCAGAATGGCGTTCTTATGAGTGACAAACATGGCTAGCGCGGCACGAAAAACGATCTTGTAGCCCTCAGCAAAGACGCAGTCCCAAATACGCAGCACAGTCTCCACGGGCAGCACCTCGGCAAAGATGCAGATGAACCATTTGCTGGCGATCACCGGATAGGGCAGGCCTACAATAAAATATGTTAGCAACCGATTATGTATACAGGTATCTTTAACGTAAATCGTACCCAAGTTATCCACATGCCGGTTTACAGCGGGAATTCGCCGAATAACCAAATCCCGAAACACGGCAAGATCCCTCAGCAGATTGGCCATGTTATGCGAATGGTATTGCGGCACGATGTTTTCAACGATGTGCTTGAGCAGCCAGAAGGACTTCTCCTCATCGTCGGTGACGATCAGCAGCAGGCCGGCTATGTAGTTTAGACCTTGGCAGTAACCCACGTCCCGATTGTGATGGGCGTAAGCGATGAGAATGTTGTACAGTCGCTGCTTCTTCGTATCGAAGTGAATATTGTCGGGGAAGGTACGAGGTAGATCGATTGATATGGAATCGCTGATTTCTTTGTCGAAAGGCTCGTTGCGCAGCAGGTTGCGAAAGAGATCCGGCGAGCGACGCTGGGCGGCGGCAGCGCCAGATATCTTCATCCAGACGTCGGGACGGTACGGACCGGGAATGCCCTTCCGAATGTACCGCTTCAGCTTGGCATCCACCTGGGTGAGATCGGTGTTTTGCTGCAGTATGGCCTCCCATTTCATGCGGCGTCGCGTTAATGTTTTCAGGTAACCATCCATGAACTTTGAGTAGTTGTTATAGTCGAAGTGGTCGCCACGCTTGAAGCCATATTCGTCCACATCGCTAACCACGTGCGGTTCAGGTAGGTAAAGATATGCGTAAGTGATAATTATAGCAGTGTATATCACAGGCCGCTCACCTGAACTTTGAACTTGGGGTAGCATCCATATGAACTTTTGACTAGAGCTGCTCACAGTGAAGAACTGTTGATTTTTTCGTAGTTGGCCACGATTTCCTGTCAGCCGCTCGTGTGTCGTGGCATGGCCCCAAAAAAGTTTTCGTATTCAGCACACGTTTTGCGGTTACGTCGCTGCCTGTGCTTCCGGCGCTTCTGTTGCAACTGCAACGGTTTGAACCTGTTTCAAAAGTCAATAAATATTGCCTTTAACTTAGGGTCCTTCATTTATTTATAAGCCCATTTGGCCTTGGTTGGAACTACCGCCGCCTACCTCTGCCTACGCCTCGTCCTTGAGCGATGGGTGGCCTTTTGTGCGCGCCCACTCGACGTTGTTGCTGCCTCTGCTGCTAAACTGATAACATTAACGGACCGACGGCCGATTTGGGTGGGCGGCCAACGGACAGGTGACAAGGGGATGGGCGTGGGCGAGTGGAATGGCTCCGCTTAGCGCGCGCTTGCAGATGGTCGATGGCAGTTTATCTAAGAGTAGTGATTTCATTGAAGATTGCTGGTCCGCTTATCAGTGGGCTCAAGTTTGCTTATATTTGTTTTTACTGGCGAATAAAATTCGCGTCTTGTAAAGAGTGACCAGAGTTAGGAACTGGAAAAGCGGCACAGCGGAGAACTAGTTCCTTTCTAGCATGTTTCCGATGCGATATATCGCACTGCTTAGCTATCTAACCCTGAAAAGAGTTTCTGTATATACAAAATAATAATAAACCTTCATATTAATAGTTCAAAAAATAATTTGTAATTATTTGATTAATTTCTACGATTGAATGGTATCACATAATGTTTATAACGGTGTATGCCGATATATCGGATAGTGTTCACCCACACGTGACAGCTGTTAGCATCTGTTGCACGAAGCACCCACTGCCTTCATTCATCGTCATGCGTCATACAGTCTCACCGTGCTGTGACAAATTACGCAATGTCTAACAACTGATGTGAAACAAGCAATTTACCCAACAGTTGGCCAAATTCCGTGTGTACACACACTCCGATCGACCCAGCGAGGCACTTATCCAGCTCCTGACCACTTCGAGATGCTGCGCAGGACGGCAACAATGGGATTTATGGCGGCGGTTGCCGTTAAAGCGGCTCCTGAGCCCCAGAAACCAGCCCCCAGTGCGTCGGACTGCAGCCTGGTGTGCCGGCCCAGCGAACTGCCCATCTACGGCAGCCTGCGCAAGACAGAGTGAGTGCCCCAATGCAGAAATAGGATCCCAGCCTAAACGATACTCCTTTGATGCTTCCGCAGACCCAAGCCAGAGCGGCATCCACCACAGGACTCTGTGCTGCACAAGAACCTGGAGGCCGGAGTCCGCTATGTGCGCGAGGAGGTCCAGTCTGGTTATAAGGCAGTAGCCGATCAGGCCGGCATTGTCGGCCATTATGTGGAGACCGCCAAAGCACACACCCAGTCCACCATCGACATGCTGAACGAGCCGCAGAACTCGCTGCACCGCAGCGGAGCCATTGTGGTGGGCGGTCTGGCTGGTTTCATCTTCGCCGCCCGTGGAGGCTTCATCAAGAAGGTGGTGTATTCGGGCATTGGAGCAGGAGCAGTGGCCTCCTTGTGCTACCCCCGCCAGGCGGAAGAGAACTGCCGCGTGGTCCTCTACGAGGGCCGTAAGATCTTCGCCGTGGCCTACAACTTCATTAAGGGCGTGAAGCCAGGAGAGGAAGTGCCCTTAGAGCCTATTCAGAAGTTCCCAACCTCGCTGGAGGACCTTAAGTACATGGCCAGCGACCTGTACGATGAGGCAAAGGAGCTAATCTTCCCCAAGAAGAAGTAGGAAGTGCCCTACCCCTAAAGGGAAACTTCTAGTCCATCCCATCCGGCCGTGAAGTGTGCATCAATTTAAGTTGTATGGAGCTTGAATTCTTTCCGATTATGTGATCAAGCTGAAAGTAGTTATCTCTTTTCTTGTTGCCAGAAATAAATTGGCCTCGAGTCCCAAAAGTGAAACCCGGGTTTATCTTGGCAAATGTGTGTGGGCCGTGCCCAGAACCCGCTCTCACATGAATCTTCGAGTGATTAATTGAGGTGTTGGTGTCAAGTCAAATGTCACGCCAGTGAGCTGTTGAAAAGTGAAATCCGGAGGAAAGTGTCGGCTGCGGATGTCTCCCATCCTCCATCTCCATCTCCCCACGTGCAAAACCGATTGTGCCAATCATCATCGTCAATGACCATGGCCCGCAGCCCAACATGGCGATGACTACAAATTGTGTGAATGGTCTTGGCGTTCCATTCGCGGTGCCCTAGGGGGCTGTTATTGCTGAGGAGGAAATCGGCGCTTATAGCGATGGGTATCTCGAGCGGACCAATTCCCCGATTGCAGCATTATTTATTAGACAGTATTTTCAGTAATCTTTTATTGCTCTCGAGCTTTCGCATCGCTATAGATAGACTTGTTCTTTGGGCAAGATACAAACAACGTTCGGATGTCTGCATGCATTTCTTTACAATAAATATAGATTTAGTTAATTGTTAAATATTACTACACTAAAATACCAACAACTTGTGGACATGCAAATGACTCCCAATTCCCCCTCCCCAACCCCCGACCCCTTCGGCTATGTACAAATAGATAATCATATTCGAAATCCGACCGATTTCCATGTTAGACAACTTACGGTGCTAACATTTCGCTAGACTAACTTAGTGGGCGTTGACTCTGTGTGTGTGTGTGTGTGTATGTGTATGTAAGTGGATGAGTGTGTGAGTGCGGATAGGGGCGTGGCAGTGGCCCACAAGGCCAAGTCAAGGTCTATGCTGTTAAAATTGTTAAATTGAAGCTAACTACGCTTAACATTCCTTTAAGATAAATCACACAAGACTTAAAGATACAACTGATAAATTAAAACAAATAACAAAAGTCGATCTGCCATCGTCAGCATCTCCTGATCATCATCTGACATGCTCCAGTATCCACGGCGTAAACTTGGAGATTCTCGTACAGACTCCGGGCAAATTGGCCTCGGCACAGCCAATGCCCCAGGAGATGATCCCGGCCAGAAAGAAGCGCCCATCCTGCGACTTGGCCTGCAAAATGCATATTAGAAAATATCTCATACACCTACTTCAGATGTCATCTTACCTGCAGTGGACCTCCTGAATCGCCCTGGCAGGAGTCCTGCCCTCCCGTTTCATAGCCGGCACATAGGAATATATCCGGAATGAACTCCTGGCGACCGGCCCTCATGAACATCGATTTGCAATTGTCGTTACTTACAATCGGCACGGAGACCTATTATGTAGTAATACATTAGATAGAGCGGTCTATAAGCATATACATAATTTTCTGTCATTTAATTTTATTTTTAGAATAACGCTACAGATCTTTATATCCACGATGGAAATCCCTTTTTATGATCTCTCTGACTATTCCTAATTGCTAGCTCCCCATTAAGACCCACACCGACAATCTGTTGCGTTCGATTCGCAGCGGTTATCATTGTCGCTGGATTCTAAAAATGGAGCCTAAAGCTGTGTTAACACTCACCTCTTGGAGGACGGAGGGCAGGGTGCCGCCCTCGCTGAGACGACCCCAGCCGGTGACCGTGGCGTTCATGCCAATTAGAAGGCTCTCCGTCTCGGGCAGGCAAATGGGACTGACATGCGGCGCGAATTCAAGCGGCTGCTCCAGCTTGACCAGCGCCAGGTCGTACTCGTACGTGAGGAAGCTATACTTGGGATGCACCACCTTCTTGGCCACGCCGCGCTCTATGTAGGGCAGCTGTTCCTGCACATGCGAGAAGTCGTATTCGCCCACGCGGATGCGTATCTGCGAGATGAGCAGGCTGCAAAAGGAAGAGGGGCAGGGATTAGCTCGATCTGGACCTGGATCTGGATCTAGTCCGGTTTTGGGCTGATCCACTCACTCGTCCACGCAATGTCCGGCGGTGGCTATCCAGTTCTCGTTGATCAAAGCGCCACCGCAGCGGTGGGTGCTGGAGAATCCAAAGAAGGAGGTGCGCCGCACCGACACCTGCCAGGGCCAACGACCGAAGGCCGCGCTCTTACCGCCCACGATCCGCGTCTCGGGCCGCGCCAAAGTCGGTACTCCGCACTCTGCAATTGCAGCAATAACAAATTGCATTGTCACGATGGGTGCTTGCGAACTCAGGGATACATATCAATGTATCTTATTTGGGGAACTGTATCTCGCAGCCTCACAAATTGATTTTCAACGGTCTACAGAGCTACTTCATTAAAAAATAAAACTTATTGGAACTTGGCTCCTCTTCTGTCATTTAATAACTCACGAAAAATAGTGATATTTGAGTCAAATATTTCAATAAAATAAATTTGTGTTACACCAACCATAGGACAATATATTGGCACTTAAAATTCAGATTGAAGAAATACCCTCTCCTTGAACAATTATTACCAGAATTTGTGGTCAAACCGTAGCTTTAAAATATTCCCAATTATTTCATATTTTTGAAAACATATTAATTATGCCTGATAAGCTTTCTACAATGATCACGCATATATTGAAGCAGAGATTGAAGGGTACTCCAAATGGCTTCCCCAAGTGCAAGGGCTTTGTCACTCACCGCTGCGAGCCGCCGAAATGGTCTTCACATGGCCCAGAGCTCCGGCGTCGGGAATGGAGGAGTCTGATATCTCGTTGGTCTCGATGCCGGAGGTGGCCAGGACCGGCGGACGGTGCGTAGGCTGCGTTGGCCGTTGTTTGCTGGTGACGATTGCGCTGGTGCTGCTGGAACTGCTGGAGCTAATCGGCCTGGTCGTGGTGGGAGTCTTGCTCGAAGTGGTGGAGGTGCTCGAGCTGGAGATCGCCGAGGTGGGCCGCTGGTAGGGCCTTGTGGGCTTGTTTGTCGTGGTCCTCCTCGTTGTGGTCGCCGGTGTGGTTGTCCGTCGTGTGGTCGTTGTCGTGGTTGTGGATGTTGTTGAGGTGGTTGACGATGGCCAATGTGAGGACGAGGATGCGGCTAATGATGCGCCCGGCGACAGCTGCAAGGCAGGCCAAAGTGGTAAACATAATGCTAAAATACTCGACCACGGTCGTCCGGAGCCAAATCATTCTCCATTCCTGGTTCTCATTCCCATTCCATTTCCATTCCCATTCCACGCAAAGAATCAATTTTTCATTTCGCCGCCAAATCTGCATTAACTAAGAAACTTTCTAGAGTTTCTAAATGAAAGTTTGGATGCTCTAATAAAGTTATGTGCGATAAGATTCAACTTAAATGAAGTTCGATAAATAAGTTTATACACTTTTAAATACAACTTTCAAATGAACTGTGCTGCATACAAGTTTACCCGGCTCTTTTCAGTTTTCTTCGAATCCCCATATACCCATATGTTAATTCCCATTACTGAACTTCAAGCTAGCAAGTGGCATGCTCTGCTTAAGGTACCCTTTCCTGGAAGAGTCCTAAATTCCACACACACCCCAGAGTGCGGCAGGCGAATCTTACATCAACTTTTGGCTTCGGCACCGCATTGTGCAAACAATAAAATGTCCCCCAAGGCTGTGGCCTGCCATTATGCAGTTGAGGTTGGAGGCCCAGTCCCAGTCCCAGTCGAGGAGTAAATGACCTCGTGGCTCGTTTGTTTCGCTTTCGACATCAATGCATCACCCAGAACCCAGGACCCAGAACATGAACCTGGACCTGGACCTGGACCCAAAAGTCGAACCAGACTCGTATTTACATACCTGCGGCCTGGTGGGGCGATGCGGCTGGGGGGGATGCGTCTGGCCCGGCCAAATCAGCGACGTTGATGTCGTCGAGGTGGATGTGGACGGTGGGGCGGACGGAGGCGGCGGCGGTGTCCGGTCGTAGACAATCGGTTTCTTTGTGGGCTTCGACGGCTTGGAGGGTCGCGCGGGCATTGGCAAATTGACGATGCCGGGCTTGGTCCAGCCGGTGGGTCGCGGCTTGGTAATAAAGCTCGGCTCGGTGGTCATCTGCCAGTGGTTCTGCTGATTGTGCTGCTGCTGCTGCTGCTGGGTCGATGTATGCCAAATGCTATCTGCGGATAGTATTTGTTTGTTACAATTCATGCTAACAATGCATCACCGCTGGGCGGGGGCGCCAAGCCCAGCCTCCTTGAGCTCCACTTACTGGGATTCAAACTAGAGCTGGAGCTGGAACTGGAGCTCGGATGCGAGGCTGAGCCCTGCAGATCCGAGGCCGTGGTGGGCTTGTTCTGGTAGGGCGGCGGATGCGGGCGCGCCAGTGTGCCCTGGTGGTGCGGACCCGAAGGACGAATCACAAGGGTGCCAGCACCATGAGGCCGCTCGATGGTGGTCATACCGCTGTGGACGGTAATCCAGCGGGAAATAAGTATGGCAAATAAATCGATTTGAGAATACATTGGGTATTATTATACTTAATATGTTAGCACACACGTATACTTATAAAATTATAATATTTTACATAAGTTATGCTATCTTTCAAGCCGCTATTATCCGAGTATGCGGTGTATTTATTAAGCTGATGAAGTGGTACTGACACAGTGATCTTAAATGTTTATTGACAGTGGAAAGGAAACACAAGTACCCATAAATTGCTAATCTCTTACCTGATCATCGGTTTGTAGGGCGCAGCCGGAGGTCGCGGGCGGAGCGTGAGTGGCTTAGTGGGCCTCGTGTAGGAGAAGGCCGTGTGGGGCAGGACGATGTTGTCGGTGTAGTTGTGCGTGCAGCAGGAGCCGAACATGAAGGAGTCGACGCACATGCCCACGTGCTTGCCCTCGGACTTGATGCACTCCCACACGAACATGCAGGTGCCCTCGACGCGGCCAAAGGAGCACGGCTTGGGGCTGATCTTGAAGTTCTGGCCGCGCTGCAGCTGCTGCAACTGCGGATAGCCCTCCAGGCGGTGCGGGCTGCGGTAGAAGCCGCTAGTCATGTCATCGTCGTCCTCGGAGGAGGAGGAGGATGACGGGATGCCCAGGGAGACCAGGGAGCCCAGTGACTCGAGGCTGTCGGGCGGTGTGATCAGCGCCGCTGCTGCTGTGGCCAGGCAATTGACTACGATTAAGGCTACTAATACTTCTACTATTTGGTCTAGACTGCGCCTGCTCCGCGCCGCAGCTCCTCCTGATCCTCGCGAGCCCGCTGCTCTGTTGTTGACTAGCCAATGCCTTTTGGGACACATCTTGGTGGCTGCCGTTGGTGTGCTTCTTCTGCAAGGAACGGGCATGACAGTTTTCGGACATTAGTCTTGTTTCGCCTGCCGGAACCCATCCACCAGAACCCTGTTTTTGGGTTTGGAGCCTCCCCCCGCCGTTAGGTCCCCCACTAATTAAGCGCACTTGTCGCCACAAAAAGTGGCAGGAAAAAAACCAAAGTCAAGCAACGATTTCTACTCTTTATGATTGTTGCTGCAGCAGTTGCTGCTGCATATGCTGCTGCAGTTTGTTTTTGTGCTGCTCGCCGTGCAGTCAGTGACTGGTTTAATTACAACTTTTCACTTTTGCTTCATAATCAGCTTTTTTCGTGGCTCATGTCTTGTTTTATTGTTGAACAAGACTGGAAAAAATTTATTGCGATCGCACGACGACGACGTCAAACGACACATGCTACAATTAATAATTTCTTGTCCCAAAAGCAAGTGCACTGCTGCCCCGCCCCTTTCGTACTCCTCTTCGCTGCAGCTCATCAAAGCGGAATGGCTTTTTTCTTTTCAACAAATTTAATTAAAGTTTAGCCAATCCATTGCTGGCCAAATTAGATGTTTGCCTTTATGGTTTGTAGCCTAAACTGGTTGCACACATCGCTGCCTCCGCAGTTGAACGTGCCCCTTATGTACCCCAAACCCCATCCCCCATCCCCCCACTACCCCCTCGGGTTGTCAACTCACCTGTGTCTGAGTCTGGGTCTGATTAAAGTAGCTTGCCTCATCGGTAACGTGCCGGGCGCATGTCTGCAATGGATTGCACGGAGAATAGTAATAATCAGTATGGTTAGCCAAAGTTTGTTGTTAGGAAATCGTATGCTCTTTTTATATTGTGCCAATCTACGGTTTATGTTTGTACTGCCAGCTAGAATGCCGGGCTCAATGTGCTCCGTCTGTAATTAGTAGGCTAACTGCGGGATGCCTAACTTTAGTTAGGAATGCATGTGGTGGTGCCAATGGAGTTGGTGGTGCTTCGAACGGCCCACCCACCAGACAACCCACATACACGAGATTGCGGCATTAGCCGGCCACAGATCGTAATCACAAGATAGCCATCATGATGATGGCCATATGCAATGATGATAACTGGGGGAGTGCGGCAAGGAGCCATGTGAATGGATGTGCTGACAACACTTTGGGGGCGGGAGCGTGGCAATTATGTGACACTTGGACATATTATGCAACTCATGGGGGCTGAGGTGAATGATCTTCAGAGAGAAGGTTGGGGAGAGTATATGGTCAGTAAATGGTGGAACCTAATTTAAATGGGATATAGACATATCAATTAAATATGATTAACCAACAAAAATAAACAAAAGAGTTTCTGGACTATCAGATACTTGTTACTCAGTGGGAGTGCGAGATCGACTCGTTGATTGATCCTGATCACAAATGTATATACTTTATATAGTCGGTAATGCTTCGTCCTACCTGTTACATACTTTTCAACGAATCTAGTATACCCTTTTACTCTACGAGTAACGAAAATATGCAAACCCCGCTCGACAAAAGAAAGTTACAGGTTAAGAAAAATCATTAAAAAAATATACTGGCCTTGACTTAACATACCTAAATTAATTTATATATTCCTTCGCATTTGTATGAAGCGCCGCTCTCTCGTGGATTTATTCACATCCAACACGCACTGAAAATTGTAGATACCCAAACATCATTTATTCAACACACTCATACAAGAGATACTCAAGCGCGGCCCCAACCGAATCCCGTTTATCGCCTAATCATCTTAATGTTGATTATAATTACAAATCGTTTGAATGCAATTTGATACCAAATACTTTGTGCACATCATTGGCTTGGACGCTCCATGTCCATGTTGATTGAAACCGAAATTGATACTGATGTTAGAGCTGGAGTTTGAGTTGATGTGGATGTGGAAGCGACGGATGAACATGTGCCTCGAGATTAATTTCAGCTTTGGCCCGAACATTTTTCCCCACATCGTGTCCGACTTGGAGCCGAGTTCTTCATGGGTCGCTCGAATCGATTCATCAATTGGCCGGGTCTGCAGACTCCTTTGAGCCAGAAACGCAAACGAAACGTTAACGCTAGCGCTGCTCACTTCTAATAACTCTATTCCAAATTGGGAGTGGGGGGTAAAGATGTGCTTGCCCCTGCCACACGCCGGTGTCTATATAGCTCATGAACCGTTGGAAATCGATTTCGTTACGTTTTCATTTCCTCAACGAAAGTAGCAGCAGCAGCAGCAGCCGCAGCAGCCGAAGCAGCGTTTAGTTTTTACCTCTCTTCAACTTCGTTGTCTTCTTTAATTTTGGGCTTATTTTTCGCAGAGAACTGGTCGAAAAATACCCGAAACGTAATTACCCCGTTTAAACGCCCCAAAACAGAAGCAGGAAAAAAATGGTAGCAGTAGTAGCAGCTATTCGATGTAGCAACAGCAATCTCTCGTGCTAATGACTATCTTTAGGAGCCCAAAACGAGCCAAAGACGGGTAGCACCAGTGGTCTGACAAACAGTCAAATGGGCAGACATCGACTCAAGCCCAGACAGACGAAGACTCAAATCCAGCCCAGGGTCCAAATGATTTTCCAGCAAAATGCTAGAGCTATTAGAAAAATGTTAGCCCAACTTGGCTAAGTTTCAACATGACCTACTGCAGTTAGGCTGCGCTTTGGAAAGTCTGGAGTAGCACTGCTAAAAATAATCGAAACGTATATTAATTAGAGGTAAGTACTTAGAATATTTTGTTTAAGCTAACACCGCATTCGCTAGATTTCTTTGGTTTAAATCGGCATTGAAGCGCAGACAGAAGTTGGCTTAAAATGCACTTTAATCGAAAGTGGCTTATTAATGGTTCTGCTCTGGTTTTCACTTTCATTTAATCCGTTTTCTTGATACTTTGACTCTTTCCAAGAATTTTCATTTAAGAAATATTGTGTTTCAGGTTGTTGAAGTTTTAACCCTACTTACACACAATGTATCAAGTATTGTCTTCTAAGAATCTCAAACCTTTTTCGCTGAGTGCAAGTACGTGCTGAGTAGATGACTTGAACTCAAAGCTGGGCTTGCAGCAGCCGACTTAGTGGAAAAGAGTAATTGTAATAACAATTGCGCAATTTGCGTCAGTCACTTAAGTTTCGCCCCTTCCCCCCTGCCCTTTTCCAACTCTATTGGCGTGTGGTAAAGTGAGGAAAAGTCTCAGTTCGTTTAGTTAAGAGCACTCCCGTCCGGGGGCATCGGCATCTGTACAGCCCCCAGCCCCCAGCCCCAGCTCCCAACTCCCATCTTCATCTCCAGCCTCAGCAAGTGGTATCAGCTATCAGCTTCGGAGGATGAGGAAGACTCTTAACCGGTAGGCGTTTTGTCAATCGACAGGCGACGGCACAGATGACAGGCCGCCCAGCCTAATGAAAAAGATAAACAACTGGATTGCACAGGCCACAAGCGACTTAAACGGCTTGATACGCAGGTACATAAATGGTACACTGGAAAATAGTTACTTTGCATTCACACATATTGATTTGTTTTATGATCAAAAAGGTTACGAGAAACTAACAAACACTACTTAAGACTCATTTTTTTGTGGTGTATGTTGGGGGGTTTCTTTGGGGGCCAAACCGCCCAGATGAAGCTGGGCTGGCGGCATCTTTTGAGATAGTGAAAGAGGGATAGTGAGCGAGAAAAATTGGAGAAGGGGCTCGAAGCTTGTTATAATCACTGCGCGTAACGCAAACACAATTTTTGAGTGGCCGGCCATGTGAAATCCATGCCATCCATACCTGGAGGCAGTAGCTCGATGCTACGGCGACTAGCACTTAGGATGGGGAATCCGAGTAAGGGAACGATATGAGTACTAAGAACAGTGAGGGGGAAAAGTCGTTGCACCTGAGTCGACCGCTTATCAATGTGAAAATCAAAAAAGCTAAGCGAAACGAGTCTCGAGCAGCGGAAGCGCTGCAGTAAATTGAAAGAAGTGTTTAAAATCTCGTTATAACTGAGAATAGCTGTTGGAAATATGGAGCTCTATAGTCGAGCATGATAAATGACAGCCATTTGATATAGGGATTAATGGCCAGAAACCGTTTTACGAGCTAAGGCAGGTTCTTGATGAATAATGTATGACTCATAAATGCAGTTATGATTTAACAGTGATTCCGTGTTGCATGACTTCACTTTTACCCTAAATAATATCAATTATTCACCTAGGTCATGAACTTTAGATAGTAACAATGGTAAATTTTACGAGTCCTGCACATCTGAAACAAGTCTTATTATAAAGCATAAATCCAGTCACTGAAACTTTTTCATAAAGTTGTTAAATCTTATGACATTTCCCATTATTTTTTGTTGCATTTTTGCACTAAATTATTTCGTTTGCAAGTAATAAATACCAGAGGATGCTTTTTATTCCCCGACTTTCCTTTTTTGAGCTCGTCAGTAAACTTTATGGAGCGACTGTTACAGCCTGGCGCCTGTTGGCTGATTGAAATCGAGTGCGAGCGCTAATTAATTGCGTTGCAACCTGTCGGCACATTACGCATACGCAATGGGTAACGCATCCTCCGGAGAGTCATTGGCCGGGGGCATCAGTTTCGGCTCTTGCCTGTCTGAATGCCGATCTGTATGTAGGTTTGAAACTAAAGCAAAGCGTTTCCAACCTGTTAAGTTTCCGAGACTGGGCCACAAACATAAATCACCTCGAGAGTGGGCTTGGTTGGTTTCCCCTGGTTTATTAACCTCACGCGGCTAATGGCCAATGGTCAGCCAGTGAGCCAGTCAGCCAGTCAGCCAGCCAGCCAGCGGTTAGTGGCCACCAATGGCCAGCGGGCATGGTCAAGTGCTATGCAACTCCACTCGCGGTTGCACTTGCACCTCTGACTGACCGCAGAGTTTAGCTGCCCCGAGGGCCCCCAGCTGTTATTGTTGTCGGTTTGTTTGTTTGTTTTACCTCCTTTTCTTCACTTCGTGGGCATGGGCTTTCCCGCTGCCAAAGAATCACATAAAAGGGGTGAGCTGGCTGGGCATTGTCCAAACATTTACTTTGTCTTGGCCAGGCTCAAGCCGCATGACGGGGCAGCTTTTGAGGTCGGGTTCTAAAGTGACTTCTCGTAATTTATTTTCCATTCTGCGGCATAATTAATTCGGTTTTCCTTTCCAGTTGGCTTTTCTCCCAGCACCTATTCTAAATGGCTTCATTTTCGATTTCATAACGGTCGCTGAGGGCCCGCCAGATGAATGGATTGGTAAATTGAAAGACCTCATTTCGTTCACGATCATGATCGGGCCCAGTTCCAGTCGCAGTCCCTTGAGGAAGTTACGGCAACACGTGCGTAACCGTAACGCTCCGAATTGACCGTAAGTGAGGGCTTCAATGAAGGCAAAAAACAAAGTTTCGAAAAGTAACAGTCTCTGCATGGCAAGCGTAACACTTTCGGCCTGTAAAAACGCCAGGCAAAAATGTTTGAGCCAAAATCGTGCAGGGCCAATCACTTTTTACCACTTTTAGTTTGGTGTGTGACAATTTGACAGATTGAAAGTGAAAAGACCTCAAAGTAAATGTCCCTAAGTGCTGGTACTGCAAGGGATAGACGCCGCCTGCCTTATCGTTAATTTGCATGAAGTGCACGTTGCCATCACTTTTCAGCATGCCCGCAGCGGACAGATCCCATGGCCATGGATCGGACCCATCCAGTGGGTCAATCAGCATTCACTTGTCCCATTCGCGGACAACTCGAGTGGCTGCCAAGAGGGCCTCCGGGCAGATGAGCTGCAGAAAGTTAGAAAAGAAAAGTGGGGAATATAGAATGGCCCGTGTTCGAGAAGGAGTGCCACATCGCCACATCAATTGAACAGATGGATCCATAGCCATTCACACCTCCAGACTCATTTCAACTGGGTCGGTCCTCGGCTGGGGAAAATGAGTGTCAAGAGTGTTAATTGCTGTGTTCGCAATTAATGCAGAAATAATTATACATCTGTGCTGGCCATTCATAATCACAGGCCGCTAGCTCATTCATTCATTCACTCGCCACTTTGGCCATTCATTCGGAGGCTCTCTGTTGGCCAATGATTAATTCAGCGATTGCATTCGTCGTCTAGACTTTGATTGCAGCTTATAGCTGTAAATTGAATCTGTGTTGATGTCATAAAATCATATTAATGGATAATGATCGGGGCTAGAGTAATGCTCGATTTGGATTGACTCTGATGGGTTTTTATGTGACCCAAACCTAGTATAGATTATATTGTTCTCATTTATTGCAAACGACATTTATAGAGTAACAATGAAGCCACTTATATAATTCTTTTAAAGTGAACCTTCCTCTTGACCCTGATCGTACTCGAAGTCATTCTTTATTGTCATTGTTTTTGGTGGGAATTTCTTGGCTTATATCATACTTTTCTTTTGTAGCTTGAATTCAGAGAGTTACAATTGCCTTCTATTACGTTAAAGCACTACTTAAGCATGACTCGTAAAAGTAAGTAGAATGTGAACTTAATGGGAATACAAATTTAAATTTAATTTAAAGAATTAAATCTACTTGCGATAGATACTGATTTATTGATATCTCAGAGACTTGTGGATTGTTTAATAATCAAATTCCCAAAAATAGAAAATGTGAAAAGCAAACAATCAATTTAACTGAGTGATGCCCAAGGGTACTGCACTTTCGTTGTATAACTGCCTCCAGGGACCAAGGTCTTTCCCAATCACCGTAATAGTCAAAAATTATACTATCGCACTGATATTATTTCACCATTTCCCAAAGCGACAGAAATTTTTAACGCATTTAAATAATTTTGCGCCTGAAGTTGTACAAATGGAATAATGGGTTCGGAAAATTATATAACCGCCGGAGGCATCCGAAAGATGGTCACAGTTTGCTGATTGCCGCTTGCCGCTTGCCAACACTGCAATTGGTGGGCCAAAAGGCCCAGAGACACCAAAATTGGTTAAGAGCAGGAGGACAAATTTGGTTTTACGCGCAAGTGAATTGCGCTTTATGAGCGCTCGCTTTGATTGCCGCACGATGGTGATGGGACTGTAAGGTATGGTATCTTATAGGATGGAAGTGGTATTGGTATATGGCTTATGGCATATGGCACATGGAAACGGAGGGAAGACGTCCACAATGCAACAATTATTCTGCTCGATGACTTTCGCTAATAAAACGACACACGCTGTGGCAAAAGCCAGACTGAGGTTGACACAATCTGGTCGGGCTGGAAGACGACATCGAATGAGGATTGCTGATTTTATAACACTCCACTCCGCCGGATAACCGCATGCAATCTGGCAGACTCTGATTTACAGACAAGTCTTTTGATGGGGTAACTATTGCGAAATTAGAATGGCTGGGCGAATTGAGCACAATTTAATTTGTTGGGTATATTGCACCTGCCAAAGGCGCCAACTATTGGGGAATTATAAAACAAATTTTGATGTTCATTTCGCGGTAAACACATAATATTTGGGGAGTACTCAAGCGCCAAGAATATTTCGTAAATTAGGCAGCCGACCTAACGGGCGATTCCCTAATTAAGAGACTTAGTAGAATGGATGGGGTCATTAAAAATATTAGTCTGTGATGAGAACCGTGAAAAGAGATTTTGTTAGAGGGGCTTTGAAAATATAAATTCAGGTGTTATTTGAGATGTTTTCAGGCTAAAATTCAGGTTTATGCTCTTATCTGCGAAAAGCATCGTTAATTTTGTTGGTGCTACATAGGTGAAAGCTTGGACAATAAAGATAATAAAGACTTTAACTCACTAGTCTTTCAGTTCAGTTACGGCTATTTGCTATTTGGCTGCGATTGTAAAATGTACGCCTTTCTTAAAGAGTCGGTTAAATGTTTAATTATCTTTGTAGAACGGCAAACTTTGTGATGAATTTTAAATTTGATTTTCACTCCTTGCCATTTTTTTCACTTGGCAGTTACGATTGAACTCTTCTGACTTTTATTCGAAATATTTGCACGCACAAGTTGGGGAATTCTGGTTAATTATTTTTAAGTAAGTATTTTTTAGAGTCGCGGACTTTTCATCGTTTTCATGGTCAATAAAACACATCGAATCATCGGGTAATGGCAAATCAAATTTTAACTAAAATTTCTTTTCGTTTTTAGCTTCCTTTCTTCAACAATGCATATGGTGTTTAATTGATATGCATTTCACTGCAAAGTCGTAAAAGTCTTTTGTAAATACATTGGAGATAGCTCTGTTTTTTTTTTTTTTGTTTAACTGCACCACAATCTTAATTAATTGTTGCTGAAGCCTTTATTTTTTTTTTCTCTGGGGCTTTATTTGTTTTCTTTATGGCGGCGTCTCGAATTGAAAATATTATTTCCCTTGCTATTGAGTTAAGCTTTTATTGCACCGTGATTTTCCTTGGCCTTTATTGTTTTTAACTTTTGTTTCGGTTGATTTCTTTTTATTTCACTGCCTTTCTTCAGTCGTGGGCGTATGTATTGTGGGCTGCAAAACAAAACAGAAGTGGAGCTGTTAATGAAAATGGGCCAACGATCATCGAATTAGAAATCACCCAGCCCAGCCTAGCATCGATTTTCGGCTTCACTCTTGGCCAGCCCAAATTTATGCAAAAAGCCCTCTACAGCCATGTGATTAGGCCAAACACGCTCCGCTCAGCTCGACGGACCCTATTTGCATTCGATTCGCTGGTAGCCGATCGGAATTGCCAAAAATTGATGCATATCAGCTGACCGATCGGATCGTGGGGAGTCCGCTCCATCGAACAGGTTGGAGCTGCCCAGGCTGCCAGTCGGCCAGTTAGCCAAGTAGCCAAGTAGCCAGTTAGCCAAAGACCCAAAATTGACGGCTATCTTGAGTTATGAGGCGTTATGGAAATGGAAATTGCATTTTACATTCGCGGACCACTCAAAAGTGACAGTTGAAAGCGTCGACGACGATTTAACGAATTAATGTTTCGTGTTTATAATTTCAGATCTCTGATTCGAAAGCGACAACCAAGGGGTTCCCTCCCCATTGACGGTCTTTATATGCAAAGATGCCTAACTGGGTGAGAGGAACATTATCACACCTGTAATTGGGCTAACGAATTGGGATTTCCCTGAGGCGAGGATAACAGTCGATATAACAGCCACATAAAATGCAAACTCGAGTGATTTGGTTAAAATGTCAGAAATATACAAAGAGCAATAGAATGCACATCTTAGCCGGCTTTAGTACGAGTATATGTAGTAAACTAGAATTTCAAGTTAATAAAGCATTTTTCAGTTTACATTTCCGAAAAAAGTGAACCCCAATAAAAAATAGTAAAACGATAATTAAAACATTGATGATTAGGCAAAATCCATAATCTAAGCTTGAAAGAACTATTGAAATTAATGTTCGAATCATTTATTTTATAATCTTCCATTTTATTCAAATCGATGGCGTTTTATTCTAATGAGCAGCAGAATCATACACGTTGATTTCATCTTTATAATTTGCATCTAAACTGAATGGAGCATAAGAAAAAATGAAACTGTTAAGAACGCGCATGGACAAAATGCTGAATAGTTTTCATATTATTAAATTTCTTTATAGTAATAATTTGCAGTTTACCACCTATTTCCCTTGATTATCTTTCCTTTGTGCAATTGCACTGCAGCCGACCACAGGAATCACTTTCAGCTAGCTCAAGCCGCAGCTTCCTTCCCCTTTACCCCTTCTTCATGCCCCCTGTCTCCTGCCCGGGGGCTCATTAAATGTGAATTTGCACTTCTTTGCCGCTTAATGGTATGCTTCCTTGTGGCACGAAGACGACGACGAGTGGAAGTTGTCAACGGCCAACAATTAACTGGTGCAGTGCCTCAGCCACGCTGCTGGCTAGTTAGCTCTCGGCCACTTGGCCACCCGATCTTTTGTTGCCCCATTCCCTTGCCTTAATTGTGCCAAAGTGGTGCCAATTTTTATTGCCGACTTATCGCTAGAGATTCCCCTGCTGTCCCCACCCTCTCTTCCACATTTCCAGCGGCTGCTATGTTGTACTTCACTTAATGAATCCCGTTAGGCAGTTGCAGCCACAAGTTGATTTTTCGCAACGCATTTGCAGAACAAACATCAAACTGCTCTTGCTTCTGGTACTGGCGACTCCGTGGAGCGCTATCAAAACTAATTTATATGCAAATGCAGTTCAAGTAGCTGCAACAAAAGACAAAGTCAAAGACTTTGGTGTGGAGTCCCTGGTGAAAAATCCACGGCACCAGCTTTGGCGCTGGAAAAGTCTTCAATAAACAGTGGGAAGTAAGCAGTGTTCTGATCGGAGTTCTTCTGCCTTCGCTACACAGCAAGAAATGGGATCGTCATATTATATATAAAATACAATATAGCTTAGATATATGGCATAGTTGGACTTGACGATTGAGCTCATCGTATTTGAACCATGCGTTAACTTAAGAGTTTTTTGCATTTTGTAAGTAAATATTCCAGCTACAAAAAGAATATATTTATAAGAGAGAGTACTCTTTTAAAGGCTGGCGTTTTTCACAGAACCCCTACAGAATTCAATGAAACACATTCTAACTGTTACATGAACTTTGTTTTAATTTAATAGATAATGGAAATATCTAAAAGCTCTTCATATATGTTCTTCCGCATGTGCCACTTGTGCTCTCTGTGCGAAAATTCTCCCGAGGAAGCAAAGAGCCAACACACACGGCATGATTTACCGTAGAGAACAAAAAGAAATTAATTAACTGCACTTGTATTAGATCCCTGACCGGCTGCAGCGCGTGCGCCTGTGTTGGTGAGTATCTGTGAGTGAGTGCATTAGCTTGGCACTTAAATGCCTCACGAGCAAGTCGCCCAGCCCGCGAGTTGGCATTTGACAGTGTCGGGAGCAGGAAAAACTGGCTGCCGCAGCATTAACTCACTTTGCATTTGCAGCTGAAGCTGAAGTTGCAGCAATAGCTATCGCTGAAAAGCGAAGCGTTTTTCGTTGTTCTCGGTTCGTGATTTTTGTCTCAACTTTAGTTTTTTTTTTTTTTTGGCCAACAAGTGCCAAGTTGAGCGGCGATTGCAGTTTACATTTAGCAGGGGTCCGCGACTAATTAGTGCTCATGTCGGCTGCCAAAAGTTATCGACTGGCAGCTCCGGAGTTCATTATCCTGTCCAGCTCTGTTATCCTGCTGTCAGCATTTGCTGCGCCCGATAAGGCTTTATTTCTTAATTAGCAGCCCGAGTGCTCCAGTTTGTGGGCCCCTCGGGGTGTTAATTTCAAAATCTCAACGCGTGCCGCAAGCAGAAAATGCTGCTGCCTCAGCTGCAATGCGTTGACAGCGAATGCAATTTGAACTTGATGGCCGGCAACGTGACACGCATATTAAGCAGATTGTGGAGCTCCGGTTTTGTAATATACGAGGAGTATGCATATGTGAGGCCTAAGTTGTCGAGGCGGCGCTTTAAATACGCACAAAGCGGCCTCGCATGCGCAATTAGTCGTGATTGAGTCGCAAGTTTGTTTAAGCATCGAGAAGAGGGAGCCCAAGATGAAGAAACTACGGAAAAATTACCTCGAACATGGGCACGAACGAGGAAAACTCTCACTTTTTGGCGGCTCGGTGTTGTGGCTTTATTTCTTAACAGTTTCTTCCATTTTGTGTAATTTTCGATTAACAATTTCGATTAGGTTTAGCGTCTTTTTGATTGATTGAAATGTCTTGTCCGTTTGGGTTACTTCTTATTATTTTATTTTTTATTTTTGTTCGTCTTGTTTTTTTTTTTTGGGTTTCTAGCCGCTGGGCTGAATGTTAAAGTGTGTAACAAAATTAGGCACCTTTTTGTGAATTTCTTCGTGTGTTTTTTTTTCCATATAAAATGGAGCTGCAACTGTGCGAACCGAAAAGCGAACAGCAAACAGCGAAATCGAAACCGAATCCGAATCGGAAACCGATCTGAACCGCACTCGAGCGCTGTGAAAACCAAACTGCGGCCGGCAAAGCATCAGCCAGCGCATAAAACTGCGCCAGGTGCCCAGAGAAAAGCACGCTCGAAGAGTGCTGGAAGAAGAGAGCCGAAGCCAGACTTTAGCGCCGAAGAGAGATTTATGACGGACAAGCTTGTGCCTGAAGTCTTTCGTTTGAACAGCTGATTGCGAGCTCTTTGCCTGGCAAATTGATAAGTGCACAAATGTTTACGGCTGCGGCGACCTCGACCCCCCAGGCTAGCTGGTAAACAAATAGCCGTGCGCACATACATATTTGGCCATCAATTTGGCCCGAATGCTTTTGGCCACTTTCCCGCCCATTCCCAGACTTTGTCACTGGACTGGCACCCCCCACCATGAAAAGCACACCCCCACTTTCTGGGGTGATTCATGGATCGGCGATTATTTAATCTCCGTATTAGCGCAAGCTCTTTTATTTTCGACCCGTGTGCGGTTTCTTTATTGACTCACCGACTTTTGAAAGTGGGTCAGTGTTAAAGATTTTTCGCCTCTCATTTGTTGGGATTTTTTATGAGTTATCAGTATAACTGTTACATAACACTGAGTGCAGCCTATTGTTGACGATTTTATGGGAGATGACAAGAGCGCTCGAGCCGATGATTCAGTTCAATTCACACTGGGATGCTGATATACTGGTAGCATAGGGGGAATTATTACAGCCAGTCGTGGGTCAGATGTCATTCCACATTTAAATGAGTTTTCCAAGAAACATGTAGGTAAATAAGGTCAGCATTAAAAGCGAATTTTAAATAGGAGAAATCGCCCGTGTATGTAGATACTATAATTACTGTTAGGCCGGTGGCTATTTTTCAATCTTCTAAGGAAGAGTTTAGTTTTACTTTCATGAAATAAAAGTCAAACATAAATTGTTCCCAGTATTTCTCTTACAAATGGGGTAATTAGTAATCACATATCTAAAAAGACGAAGTTTATGGTTTTGCACAGATCATTTATCACTCCAGATTGCTGGAAAGAATTACGATTTGCATGACGGGGTCCGCCAATTTCTAACAAATGTTGATGAAATTGCCTATAATATCTTTTGGCTAACCGGCTTGAAAAAGTAACACTCAAACATTGTAAATGGTCTGTTGATCGGTTTAGTGCAGTTCAACGAACGTTGATAGGTTCTCGATCGCTGATCTTGGCCAAACGCGGAGAAACATTCATTCATGGATGACTGCGCGCTGATAAATAGATCTTCCAATGGATTCCAGCACAGCAGAGCAGTTCAATGACAGAAATCTCACTGATCGTTGATCGTCGACGATTTGAAATCGAGGAGATTTATGCCGATTGCCGAGTTCTTACTACTGAATTACTCAGACATCGATTCAGCCCAGATCATTTAACACTGTCTTCGCTTAACGATCATAAATCAGCTGCGAATGAAGTTGTATACAAGGAGTATCAACGAGTTATTGGAAAAAAGAAAAACAATGTTCCTAGGAACGAAAGTATAACAAATTTCACAATTTGTTATTTATTCATTGGTTTGACCATTTAAAACATACTTAACTAATATTCTAATGATTTATATAAATAATTAAACAAAATTAGCTTTTATTTTTTTATAAAATTGACTACTAATTTAACTTATCCGATTTAATGGGTCTGGTTTAACGCTCTTTCCTTCTACCCACATTTTTTTTCATTTTATTATTCCAACTGTTATGGGTCTGCCAATTTAGCCCGAAACTAAAATATCTCAATTCTGCCATAAAAACTCCCCATGACATCTTTTTTTTTACCAGTATTTAATTTGGCTCTAAGCGTTCGATGTAAGCCGAAAATCGAATTCCACCTTACTGACCTATTTATCCAGCTCCTCAATCCCGCGGCTGGCGAACCAAACGCAGCAAGTGGCACTCTTCGGCTGGCGAAGAGGTGATCAGAGGTGGCAAAGGGGCAGGTGGAAGGATCGAAGCCAGTTGGAGTCGGACTCTCTGCTTGGAACTTGATTAATCGTTTACACGTGAATCAAAGCCGAATCGTTAATTTAAATGGGTAACACAATGAATGGAGCTTGAAACAAAATGCTGCCAATATATTTGCCAATTATGCTGGCTCCCATGGTTGCGGACAAAGTAAGTTTGGGTTACATTAAAAGAAAAACCTTGCTAGTCTTAACGAATTTTAGAGGGTATACCCTTAAAAATGTATAGCTCTTTTCATTCTAGCTACAATAAATGGAACAAATACATATTTGTATTAGAAGCCCACGATGTTACGTCTTACAAATTTTGTAATCAATATTTAGTTGAGTATCAATTGTTGAGCAGAATTTAGTTTAATGCTAGTGTAGACCTTGGTGTTTAGGATCCTGTCAACACTTCTCTGATTGACATTTGCATAATATGGAAGATCGCTGAAGATCTCGCGAGCCGTGTGTGAACTACGGGCTTTGGGTCTGGGCTGTTTCAAAGTGAAAGTCAGTGTCAAGATTAATGGGCCGTAATTTGTCATGCCAATGTGGCCTCCTCCACTCCTCTCCAGTCGATTGAAGAGTATGCTCTGGTTAGCCCGATCTTGGCGTGCACATCATGTCATTTTCATTTGGAATCGTTTTGTGCTGTCAACAATGCCACAAAAGCACTGCAAATGACATGTACGAACTCAATCGATTATCGAGTAGGAAGTGGAAAGCGAGGCGGGCTTGTGTCTTAAGTCTTTCGTTCGGGCTCCGCAAAAAGAGAGATGCGGAGCTGTAGTTGGCTGGCGCGATGGCTAAAGACGGCGGAATGCGGTAATTAATTAAGCCAAAAGCAAGAACTGCCAACGGCAGTAGTCGAAGAATTTTTCTTTCATTTCCAGCTGGAAAAGCCAGCAAGCTCCGGTGCGATAGGGCGACGTAGGGTAGGACATGGTGGGCGGTCGATTCCTAAGAATCCAAACATTGCATGCATGAAATGAGCGTAATTATTAAGTACAAGCCAGGCAGCTGGGCACTAAGCCCCATTGCTACCACCGTCTCTTGGCCGTCTTGGCCATGTCTTTATTTAATAGTTGTGTAAGTATTTTTCACAGCAATATTGAATTTTCCGCACACACATGTGACATGGGTCAGTAACCTAGAAATGAAAATAACACCTTGCTGGGGCTGCGGCTTTGGCTTTGGCTGCGGCTGTGGCTGTGGCTGCCAACTGCCATAAATGTGGACGGAATGGAGATGGACATGGGATGGAGCCGGGACTGGAGCTGAAACTGAAGCTATAGCTGGAGCTGGAGCTGAAGCTGGAAATGTAGAGGCTCGCTGCAAACGAAACGAACCCACCTAGCCACTGCCAGCGACCCCCCTCCGGTGTGTGTGCGAGTTTGCTAACGTTTCAAGACCATATCTATATCTAAGCAAGTGTACGGCAGCCCAAGAGAAAAACTGCCAGCGCAACAGAGACAGGGAGAACCTGTATGGAGAGACAACAGCGAGACCGAGACCGAGACCGAGACCCAAGCCAAGACAAGAACCAGGCCAGGCCAAGCCACATCTCCAGAAAATTTGTTAAACCGCAGCAGAGAAATGTTGAAAACATAAACCAAAAACCGCAAAATGTGGCAAAAAAAATAATAATACACACCATGTGGAAAACCAGCAGTAGCTGAAGCAACAATGCAAAAGAACAATAACAACAATAAAATGGTAGCAAGCTCTGGGGGCAAATTAAATTAAGAGCGCTCACAAGTGTAAGCCTAAACATTGTCTAATGGCCAAAAAGAATACAAGAGGCCCAAAATGTGAAGCAATGCGAGGGAATAGGCGTCCAAAAGGGCATGACATCAGGAAGCCATAACTATTACGCAAGAAATAGAATATTGTATGCGCTATCTGAAAGGCTATTATTACTTATAAATATAGAGATAAATATAAAAATATAACACAGAGAACAACGCAAGCTTAATTTAAAAAAAATTAAATTAAAATTTTCGGCTTTTTAAATTAGACAATGTTGCGTCTTAGGCAACCGTATAATTATATAGAAAACTGTAAATGATACAATATGCTCGCTCCACCAAGCAAAGGTGGTGCTATAAACATCAGAGAATATTCTTACGCAAATATTTTCTGGCCGAGCCAGCCAACCTATGATTAATATTCAACAGAAGGTCTATTAATTGCCATTCACGTTGTTCTAGTTTTGATAAACCCACCTCTCCTCGTAGCCACCACCATGCCATGCGCTAAGCCCCAAGATCGGAGGCCGGACTGCCGAAGTACGAGTATAACCGTCGGGGCAGTGACTCTCCTGGTGAACTCTTAGTCGGAGGCAGACGGTCACAGTCAGTTAACAGTTGGCGTTATGATGATATAATAAACAGTGATGGTCCCAGCGAAAGGGACGGAGTGCTGGGACCAGGTTGAAACAGATTGATGGGGTAGATTAAAGCCAGGTCATGTCAGGGAAGAGTCGGAGTCAGCAGTCAGCAGTCAGCGCCTTGGCATGCGTTTGAATTTGGGAGTCAGAGCGGGAAGAGTCGCAAACAAATCACCCAACACTCTGGATGGCAGACTTGTGTTGGACGCAGATTAATTTCAGTTGACAAATTACACATGAATTTCT